CTGGCGAGGCAGATCAGTCGCCGGCTTCTGGACGGCCGCTCACTGCTGCTGCTGGCCGCTCACGCTGGCTGCTGGCTACACACGGTAGTCCATGGCAACCCACTGCCACAGGGACTGCAGCCTACGCCGTCGCTCTTCTGTATCTTTAAAAATTAGATTTCACTGTAGGAAAAGTTACAAGTCCATCTTATCTATGAATATATCTGACAGATATCAAATCTTTATATAAAAATGAAACCAGCAATGACTTAAAAATAATTCATTGTAAAATTAGTTTTCCAGTAATGATTTATTTTCTTTAAAACTATAAAAGTAGAAAATTTAAACATTCACACAATTGATAAAAAAGTAAAATGAACCTCTGTTTCTCCTTAAGACCACCTCAAAACGTGTCAGTGTTTTGCCAGTCTTGTATCATCCATTCCAATCTACTCCTGGGGGTGGGTGTTGGGTGGGAAATGGTGCTGGGATACTTTAATACAAATCCTAGAATTATGTATTTCTCTAATAAGTTGTGAGCCTTAAAATTTACCTCTAATAAATAATTCTTCAAGGATGTAGGAGACAGCAAAACCCCCAGGCTATTATAACACAAAATAATTGTTTTAATTTCTTAATATCATCTAATATTCAGTTTGCATTCACATTCTCCCACATTAATGAAACACATGTTTAAATTTCGTTTTGAACCAGGATGTAAACAAAGTTCGACATTACAATTATTTATTATAATGTTAAAACTGATAAATTCTGTCTGAAAATAAAATTTAGGACCAGCTACAAAATGGAAGCATATAATTGCAATCATCACTCAGAAAGAATACTACCCAGAATATAAAAATTAAATTTTACCCATTCAAAACAAAAGGAAGACAACCCACAACAAATTTTAAAAATGTTTGAAAAGATAGTTTACACATTAGTAAACTCATGTGATGAATATTATATTGTTATATACAACATTGCTAATAATAAAACAAATGTAAATAATAGCAACACCACCATTTCACATACATACAGTTAGTAAATATTCAGACATTGCCCAGTGTGTCAATGATGTGGGGAATCGGAGCCTCTCCTCCAGAGTCATTGTGGGCATTATTGTCTTAAACACTTCAGAGGACAATATGGTCACATGAACTAAACATAAAGATGCAGGAAAATGATAATTCAGCAATTCAATCCCTCATTTTCTGTTCATAACAACAAGGTGATTGCCCAAGGATATTCATGGCAGCATTGGGGTGGAAGTAAAATATTGAACACAATATAAATGCCTATGATAGCGTCAGGGATTAAAACCGGAAAGCCCAGTTCATTGACACAAATATATAAAGAGTGATGAAACTCAATGAACTAGAAGTGCATGTATAAAAGGGGATTTTTTTGGAATTAACTGAAGGAAATGTCAATATACATAACTAAACGATATATTGACATGCGTATAAATATTTTTGCACTTGCAGAAAGTAATATGTAGTGTGAACGGAGGTTGCCAAGGTGGAGTCATTTATATGATGGGAACTAAAATGAAGCCAGGAAGCCAGGAAGAAGTTTGTCTTACACATGCCTGATGCAGTATGGTTTTCCAGAATATCTTGAACCTTTGAGCTGTGTCTGAACTTTAACCTCCTCCTCACCATGACAACCAGACCATTTGTACATTGTACTTTGAAAGAAGGCAACCCTTTTTGTCAATCCATGATTTGCATAATAGGTTTGACCAATCCCTAATATTTAGCTCAAAATATTTCACTTACATAAAGAGGATTGGATTAAGAACAGCCTGCGCCTTTACAAACCCTGCTTTTCTTTTGTCTGCCCAGAGTGCAATTTGTATTGCTACCTAAATCTGTGCCCCAGGGTTGCAACATTTTTTTGTTCTCTAATTAATGCCCTTCATTCTTTACTACAGCCTAAATATTTTTCTATATTAACAGTAGTGTTAAAAGTATAGGCATATATGTTAAAAGTTCTTAAATGCTGGGGGTGAGAAATATAAAATTATATAACTGATTGTATCAGATTCAGATACATGTGTGATAAATACAAATGTGAAGAAAAGTAAACTTGAAATAACTACCCCCTGGGGTGTTGGGAGAAGGGCAGAAGATTAGATCAAGCCTGATCAAGTTGAGATGGTTTCAGGTAGTGCAGATGCTAGAGCAGGGAATTCAAAGTCCAGCTGGAGAGGAAACTTCCCTCACCTTCATGCTTCCTCCATCATCCCGTAACTCCCAATATTGTCCCATCAAGTTTGCTCATTATCCACAATCTGAACTGAAAAGGACAGCTGGACCATTATCACCATTCATGTCTTTTGATTCCTTCTCTCTGTGTCCCTATTGAAAATGGGCTGTGGAGTGACTATTGCATCATGAATTTCTGGATATTTATGGGCCACATGTCAGTGTACCCTCCTGAAAAACCAATACGCAAATCCAAAATAGGTCCTAATGTCAACTTTTGAAAGCGTCCTGTGACTGATGCTGACTCACTTTAGCCTTCCTCTTCAATCCCAGATAATGTGCAAGAACAGCCAGGCTTCTAGACACATTGGTGAAGACCAGAAGGCGCCCCAGGAAGTTTGGGGGTGGGATCCTTGGGCTCCAGTAAAAAAAGGAAAAACTGGAACCAAGGAAGCCCCAGCAACTCCAGATCCCTGAGCCCTTCAACAAACAGAAGGAATCAAGAAGATGAAAAGAAAAGGAGGAGAGAAGGAACGAAGGCAGAGATAAAAATCTGGTGAGGTAAAACCATTTTTAGAACAGGCATCCAAGAACACTGGATTCCTTGGACATGAAAGTAGGTTCTGGTACCAATTCCAATGTTGGGGGGAGTTCCCCCATACCAACAAGCAATTCTTGCTACACCAGCTGGGTGTCCTACAATTCAACTCAGTACTGACACCATCAACCCAGAGATAGCATCAGATGCCCAGGTTAAGTGTTCATTCCACAAAACTGTCTCCAACCAACCCCCAACTTCAGACACCATGACCTCTTCCAACTCAGGATGCCCACCAGTGTCAGGATGCCAATCGCAAGTACCAGCTGTTACTTGTACTTCTGACTGACTGGCTATAAATCGGAGGTCCCTACCAACTCTCATTTAATTTACTGGAAGGGCTCAAGGAATCAGAGATACATGTCGCTTACTAGTTTACTAGTATTAAAAAACAAAAGTTGATCGAGTAGATTTAAAGATCTAATTGACTTTATGAATTGGGCAGTCTCCCATCCAGCAACTAGAAGGGCATTCGAGAGCTTGTACAAAATGGAAGGTTTTTATATGAAGCAGAGTGGAACAACAGAGCTATTAACGAAAGAATAGAAAGTATTATTTGGGGGCTGGGACATCTTTTCTTTGGGGAAAGAGAAGGAGAAATGTTTATATTATGTAGAGTGTCCCTTCTTTAGAGGGTTTACATAACCAATTACCTTATTGGAGATTGACCAGAAAATTCCATACTGGTTGATTAAGATTGATTTTCTAGGTTTAAACTGCCATTAGATTGGGTATTAAATCTGAAATGTATTTAATGTAGCATATGCAATTTGGAAACTCTAATGTGTGAAATTGTGTACTTTATAAATTGATGTTATAGAATTCGTAATTGATGTTAGAGAAAGTATCACATGATACATTTGAGCCGGACAGCTGCTGTCTGAAACCCATTACTACAAAGTCACCTTTATTTGAAATGCTGTTTCTCTAGCTTCCAGGGGGAAAACAGTCTCACCATAATCAACAGATTATGGATGTTTTCGGTAAAGACACAACTGTCTCCATGAAGCACATCATGCGCTCTGAGTTAGAGAAAACCTGTGTGTTCCCACCATTGTCACTGGCATACAGCTTTTATTTACAAGATTACATGACTCCTACAGATTTATCCTAATCTTTATTATAAGCATGGAGGGATTATAGGTATACCTGTAGTAATCCTGAAAATGTCTATGATTCTTGTAAGATGGGCTGAGAGCAATGGTTTCAGAACTTCAGACCCTAACTACCTTTAAAAAACTGGATTCATTTCTAACAATCACTGTCATTGTCTTTTGCACCTAATCCCATTAGGAGCCATCAGGGGTTGTCATACTTTTAGGACCCCTTCTTTCTTTACTAGATCAGCTCATGGCTCAGAATTCTCCCTGTGTGGATCAATTTCCCTTTCCCAATATCATCACTCACCCTTCATAGGCATCTATACCTTACAGATGCTGCCTCTCACACTGAAATAGAAAATATTCTCCAGATTTCTTCCACTGTCTGAATGGTGAGCTTAATGTGACAGTCACAACCAGAGCACATGGGAAAGAGGCAGCCAGACCCTGAGACATGCATTAATGATGTAAGGGTGAAATGCAAGAAATTAATGACTTAGTTAGGCTTAGTTCAATCACCTCACAACTTGCTGTTCAGCTGTCTTTTCTTTGTTTTTCCTTCACTGCTTGATTTAATGACTCTGCTTAGTTCCCTTTCTTAAGACTATACATACCTTATTGACCTAATAAATCAGCAGAGCACTAATCTGGAAAGAACAATTTCTCAATTCTCAGGCACTCAGACGCCAGGATCCATGGTTGCAACTCTCCTGCAGCTTCTGCTGATGATGTGCAACAGACACACTCTGGCCATGGCCGCTGAGTTCAAGATAACCTTATGAAACAGACCAGGCCACGGGAGGTGATTTCTCAGACTGGGCCTGGGGAGACAATCTCTCAACTGTCAGCCCTGAAACTTGCATAACCAACTTTCACTTTTCTTTGTTCTCTCACACACCCCCACACCCCCACCCCTACCTGCCTGCCTGACTATATAAAACCTCTTGATTATCCTCAGTTTGGGGAAGGTGGGTTTTTTCTGGACATTAGTCTGCCATCTTCCCTAGCTGCCAGCATCTAGAATGATGTACGCTTTTCTCCTCACCAACCCTTGTCACTCAAGTTTTGGGGCCATGGGCGACAAACAGCGCCAGACCTGAGTCTGGTAACAGTGATTCTGTGACCTCATCTCCCCTCAGAACTACAATTGTCTTTTCACCTGTAGTGGCAATGATAATGTAGGCTTGGGAAGCCGTGAACATTTATGAAAAACTTTTTTTTCCAACGTTGAAAATTACCAAAACCACTTACAGGTTTCTAGTTCGTATCTACAAAGGGGCCTTGCAGTGATTGGTAGAGGCTGTTTTCCATTCCTGGAGGTATGTGTCTCCCACTGGGTGCTCTGCTTCGCTGACAAGTTTTTCCCCCAAAAAGTGAGTTCTCCCTAACTCCAGACCACTGAGCTGAGTGATCATTAAATTAAGAACAAAGAAATGGAAGCAGACAAAGTACCTGAGAAAGATTTTCCAAGAATAACAAGTAAAAGGAGAAACATGATGCCAAGCATTCAATGCCAGTCAATTTGGAAGTCTAGATGAGATGGACCAGATGGCCTCACATGCCATTCCTCTATCTAGGATATAAACAAAGCCACTTACTCAGTCCAAGAGCACTGGACCGTCACCACAGTCCTCTGTACTTATTTTTGGCTGAAGTTTCAGAAATGCCCTTGTAATTCAATATTACAATTACAATTCATGTAATTGCTCTTGTAATTCATTAAGAAACATAAAATAGGAGATCAAATCAATCCTTTGGTGTTTCCTACAAACAAATCTGCATTTTCTCCAGGTCCACTATCCAATGCCTCTCAATTTGTAAGTCTGTGATTAGAGCCGTATGGTGGACACTCTCTACCACAGGTGCCTGTGAGCATGTGCACACACACAGATTTACATAGATGCATGCACATGAGCACACTCTCATACACATTGAATACAATGGCTCTTAATGAGTCCCAGAGATCCCCCTAGCAGGGTGTGTGGACTTGGTACCTCTTGACATATTTGATACATAGATTTTTTTTTTGTTTATTTTTTATTGGGGAATTGGGGGATGGGAATAGTGCTGGGGAATTGGGGGAAGGGGAACAGACAAGTTGCTGTCCTTTTGTTCTTCAGTCTAGTTGTGGAGGACGTTGCTTCACTGGCCCAAGTTG